AAACTTTGTCCTACTAGCAAGTCGTTTATCACTTTTTGGATGCATTGGTGTTTGTGCCCGCAAATGCCCATTTCTTTGGCATACCCGCCTTTGGACTTCAAGTACACTCTTGCTGCGGATGCCTGTGCCAAGAACGATGACATCGGCATCGGCGGTTGGGTTCAGCTGCCGGGTCAACCTTGTGTCTGGTTTGCAGAGCGTTTCAAAGTTCAGGATTTCCTTGATCTTGGCCTTCCCATGCAAGCTCAAGCCAATTTGGATATCACGTCTTATGAGACGTTGGCACAGATTGCTCTTGTCGTTTGCTTTGCAGCCTTCACTCAGACGGGCCGCTTGCGTGTCCGCATCCCATCGTGGAGCGATAACAGTGGCACAGAGTCGGTGGCCAATAAGCTTTTCACGGTGCGCTCGCCGGTGTGCTTCTTTGCTCAGAAGCTGGCCACACACGCATGGCGCAGTGGCGTTACTTTGGACTGTAGTCATATTGCGGGTTGTCGCAACGATTCTGCTGATTGGCTCAGCCGTTGGGACGGCGACATGCCGTCCGCGTGGTCATTGGATTACCGCGTCACCTGCACTTTGCCGGTGCTTTGGGAGGGACGTCGTGACGTGCGGGTTTTCCCGCCTTCTTCGGCTTCAGCATTGCATTGGCATGTGCCTACACAGTCCTTGCAATGATTGCATTACGCAGTGGCTCCTTCTTCGCACTTCTTTGTTGCTTGTGCTCAGCTGAGCTTGCACTTACGCATGGTTGCTACTTTTCAGCGTGCATGCCGCACGCGTTTGCTGACTATCTGCTTTCGGGGCAGTTCGTCCTAGGGTGCTGCAGCAACTCTCTTGAGTCTTACGCTTTCGCATCTGGCATCGGGTGGGTTCGACTCTCACGGCGCGCGGTCGGCTTGCCTTCCCCCGTGAGCTCGGGCGTTCTCACATCACCGGTGTCATGGTGCAACATCGTCGGAGTTCGGCTTCCCTGCGGCGCGCGGTCGGCTTGCCTTCCCCCGAAGGTGATTGCGTTCTCCCGATGGCGGTGTGAGCAGGACGACGACTTTTTTTCGGGCATCTGAGTGGCTGCGACATGGTGTCGCTTCTCTGAGCAGGGTTTCTTGCTTAGCTGTGCAGTTCCATGCTGGGCCAAGTCATCGTTTTTAGCTACAGTTCTTGATGTTTAAACATTGTTGGTGTGGTTGGCCACTCTCCCAAGCTTGG